TTCTGCTCTCACATAGCTAAGTCATCTTGTCTCTTGAGAAAAGTTGAGTCAGAGCACATGCACATGGCCTTCAAGTGGGTAATTTGGTAATTTTTCTCCCACAGATTTAGGAATAGGTGTGATATCAAGTAAAGAAGCTGAGCCAGGCATAGTGGCTCATGCCTGTAACTCTAGCTACTCAAGAGGCAGAGATTTGGAAGATCACAGTTCCAGAACATTCAGGGCAAAAAAGTTAGCCAGAACCCATCTCAACCAATAAGTGAGGACTGAGGACTCATGCCTGTTATCCTAGCTACACAGAAACTTAAATAGGAGGATTAGGGCCAGGCCCACTCATAAAGAAGCGTGTCTGTGCATGCAGCTCAAGTGGTAGTGCACCTGCCTTGCAGCAAGTGTGAGGCTTTGAGTTCAAACCTCAGTACTACAACTACAGCAACATCAACAAAACAAGCTAGTCATGGTCATTTTAAACCCAGGGACACTCTCCAATCTTGCCTGCCAAATCAAATTTAAAATAGGGTTCAGAAGTCTTTTCTTACTCCTGCCTCAGCCATGTGGAACTCAAATATGTCATCTTCATTTCCTTCCTCTTTTGATGGGCAAGAACATCTTAGACCACCTGCCAAGCATGGTGACTGGAATCCAGGAAGATTCAAATGTACTGCTTTTGAATGAATGAATGAATGAACTAATGAGCTTTTGTTGTCTTTCATAATAACAATAAGTATAATATTTGACATTATTCACATCTGCTTCTATGCTAACCACTTCATAAGCACTATCTTGTTTTATCCTATAACAAACTGATGAGTGGATATTATTACCAGTGTTACATTTGACCCTCAGAAAGATTAAGGAACTTGCTCACAGTAAGCTACCATTCTGAAATCAAGATCAGACATGATTTCAGACCCAATTTTCTTTTTTTTTTTTATTATTCATATGTGCATAAAAGGCTTGGGTCATTTCTCCCCCCTGCCCCCACCCCCTCCCTTACCACCCACTCTTCTCCCTCCCTCTCCCCCCACCCCTCAATACCCAGCAGAAACTATTTTGCCCTTATTCTAATTTTGTTGTAAGAGAGTATAAGCAATAATAGGAAGGAACAAGGGTTTTTGCTGGTTGAGATAAGGATAGCTATACAGGGAGTTGACTCACATTATTTCCTGTGTTACCTTCTAGGTTAATTCTTTTTAATCTAACCTTTTCTCTAGTTCCTGGTCTCCTTTTCCTATTGGCCTCAGTTGCTTTAAGGTATCTGCTTTAGTTTCTCTGCATTAAGGGCAACAAATGCTAGCTAGTTTTTTAGGTGTCTTACCTATCCTCACCCCTCCCTTGTGTGCTCTCGCTTTTATCATGTGCTCAAAGTCCAATCCCCTTGTTGTGTTTGCCCTTGATCTAATGTCCACAAATGAGGGAGAACATACAATTTTTGGTCTTTTGGGCCAGGCTAACCTCACTCAGAATGATGTTCTCCAATTCCATCCATTTACCAGCGAATGATAACATTTCGTTCTTCTTCATGGCTGCATAAAATTCCATTGTGTATAGATACCACATTTTCTTAATCCATTCGTCAGTGGTGGGGCATCTTGGCTGTTTCCATAACTTGGCTATTGTGAATAGTGCTGCAATAAACATGGGTGTGCAGGTGCCTCTGGAGTAACCTGTGTCACAGTCTTTTGGGCATATCCCCAAGAGTGGTATTGCTGGATCAAATGGTAGATCAATGTCTAGCTTTTTAAGTAGCCTCCAAATTTTTTTCCAGAGTGGTTGTACTAGTTTACATTCCCACCAACAGTGTAAGAGGGTTCCTTTTTCCCCTCATCCTCGCCAACACCTGTTGTTGGTGGTGTTGCTAATGATGGCTATTCTAACAGGGGTGAGGTGGAATCTTAGTGTGGTTTTAATTTGCATTTCCTTTATTGCTAGAGATGGTGAGCATTTTTTCATGTGTTTTTTGGCCATTTGAATTTCTTCTTTTGAGAAAGTTCTGTTTAGTTCACTTGCCCATTTCTTTATTGGTTCATTAGTTTTGGGAGAATTTAGTTTTTTAAGTTCCCTATATATTCTGGTTATCAGTCCTTTGTCTGATGTATAGCTGGCAAATATTTTCTCCCACTCTGTGGGTGTTCTCTTCAGTTTAGAGACCATTTCTTTTGATGAACAGAAGCTTTTTAGTTTTATGAGGTCCCATTTATCTATGCTATCTCTTAGTTGCTGTGCTGCTGGGGTTTCATTGAGAAAGTTCTTACCTATACCTACTAACTCCAGAGTATTTCCTACTCTTTCCTGTATCAACTTTAGAGTTTGTGGTCTGATATTAAGATCCTTGATCCATTTTGAGTTAATCTTGGTATAGGGTGATATACATGGATCTAGTTTCAGTTTTTTGCAGACTGCTAACCAGTTTTCCCAGCAGTTTTTGTTGAAGAGGCTGCTATTTCTCCATCGTATATTTTTAGCTCCTTTGTCAAAGACAAGTTGGTTATAGTTGTGTGGCTTCATATCTGGGTCCTCTATTCTGTTCCACTGGTCTTCATGTCTGTTTTTGTGCCAGTACCATGCTGTTTTTATTGTTATTGCTTTGTAATATAGTTTGAAGTCAGGTATTGTGATACCTCCTGCATTGTTCTTTTGACTGAGTATTGCCTTGGCTATTCGTGGCCTCTTGTGTTTCCATATAAATTTAAGTAGATTTTTCAATCTCTTTAATGAATGTCATTGGAATTTTGATGGGAATTGCATTAAACATGTAGATTACTTTTGGGAGTATCGACATTTTTACTATGTTGATTCTACCAATCCATGAGCATGGGAGATCTCTCCACTTTCTATAGTCTTCCTCAATCTCTTTCTTCAGAAGTGTATAGTTTTCCTTGTAGAGGTCTTTCACATCTTTGTTAGGTTTACACCTAGGTATTTGATTTTTTTTGAGGCTATTGTAAATGGAATTGTTTTCATACATTCTTTTTCAGTTTGCTCATTGTTAGTGTATAGAAATGCTAATGATTTTTCTATGTTGATTTTATATCCTGCTACCTTGCTATAGCTATTGATGATGTCTAGAAGCTTCTGAGTAGAGTTTTTTGGGTCTTTAAGGTACAGGATCATGTCATCTGCAAATAGGGATATTTTGACAGTTTCTTTACCTATTTGTATTCCTTTTATTCCTTCTTCTTGCCTAATTGCTCTGGCTAGGAATTCCAGTACTATGTTGAATAGGAGTGGAGATAGTGGGCATCCTTGTCTGGTTCCTGACTTCAGAGGGAATGGTTTCAGTTTTTCTCCATTAAGTATAATGCTGGCTGTAGGTTTGTCATATATAGCTTTTATAATGTTGAGGTACTTTCCTTCTATTCCCTGTTTTCTTGGAGCTTTTATCATGAAATGATGTTGGATCTTATCAAAGGCTTTTTCTTCATCTATTGAGATGATCAAGTGGTTTTTCTCTTTGCTTCTGTGAATGTGGTTTGTTACATTTATTGATTTTCGTATGTTGAACCACACCTGCATCCCTGGGATGAAGCCTACCTGGTCATGGTGAATAATCTTTTTGATGTGTTGTTGAATTCGGTTTGCCATTATTTTGTTGAAGATTTTTGCGTCAATGTTCATTAAGGATATTGGCCTATAGTTCTCCTTTTTGGAGGTGTCTTTGCCTGGTTTTGGGATAAGTGTAATACTGGCTTCATAAAATGTGTTTGGCAGTTTTCCTTCCCTTTCTATTTCATGGAACAGTTTAAGGAGGGTTGGTATCAATTCTTCTTTAAAGGTCTGATAGAATTCAGCAGAGAATCCATCATGTCCTGGACTTTTCTTTTTGGGGAGACTCTTGATTGCTGCTTCAATTTCATTTTGTGTTATAGGTCTATTCAGGTGATTAATTTCCTCTTGGTTCAGTTTTGGATGATCATATGTATCTAGAAATCTGTCCATTTCATTAAGATTTTCAAATTTATTTGAATATAGGTTCTCAAAGTAGTCTCTGATGATTTCCTGGACTTTCATGGTGTTTGTTGTTATCTCCCCTTTTGCATTCCTAATTCTACTAATTTGGGTTTTTTCTCTCCTCATTTTAGTCATGTTTGCCAGGGGTCTATTGATATTGTTTATTTTTTCAAAGAACCAACTTTTTGTTTCATTAATTCTTTGTATGGTTTTTTTGGTTTCTATTTCATTGATTTCAGCTCTTATTTTTATTATATCTCTCCTTCTATTTGTTTTGGGATTTGCTTGATCTTGTTTTTCTAGGAGTTTGAGATGTATCATTAGGTCATTGATTTGAGAACTTTCAGCCAAGCTGGGAGGAAATCATAAAGGACAGAATAAGTTTCTGGCATCTAATTCATTTTCCCATACTTATGGGACATGAAATAGACTCTCATTTGAGTGAGGTGATGTTCTCAGGGCTCATATAAATTGTTTCTTTCCTTCCTGCAAGTGAAGTGAACTTTCTGAAGATACTGAATGGAAACCATGATATGTTTCCCATTATTCCTCTTCTCGCAGATCAGAGGCAGATCTGTGCTGATTGCTATTACGTCCTTAGTCATCAGAAATTTGAACCCCTCAGAATAGTGAGGATGAATTGCTTTGAAGTCCTGAAGCAGTGAGGCCTTTAGAGGAAGAAAGGTGAGCATTGAACAATCTTAGTCTTTATAATTTCTGTTCAGAGCTAAAATAATGTAAGCTATAGGTTATAGAGAACACTACTAACTTATTATTTTCAGTTCTAAATCTTAGTAAAGACATAGGAGAAGGGAAAAAATGATATTCAGAGACAATGGGAATAACATGAACATTGTTTCTGGAGAGAGACACTCACAATGGGTGGGAAAAAAGCAAATGGGGATTTTTCAGGAATCAATATGAAAAGTCTTTCTCTCTGCTGTGCATATCCTGAGAACACTGAACTTGGTAACCAGCAACTCATCTCTTCCTCTGAAGTCAAAATGGAGGGGCAGCATTAATGTCACCTTCTACCACTGTTCTTACAGATCCCACCTATGAAGCAAATAGCTATGGAAAATGATTCTTCAGTGACAGAGTTTATTCTTATGGGATTAACAGACCAAAGTGAGCTCCAACTGCCCCTGTTTTTCTTCTTTTTGGTGAACTACATAGTCACTGTGGTGGGAAATTTGAGCTTCATGAATCTAATTTGTCTGAATTCACACCTTCACACCCCCATGTACTTTTTTCTCTTCAATCTGTCCTTCCTTGATTTCTGTTATTCATTTGTCTTTACCCCCAAAATGCTGATGGGCTTTCTTTTGGAGAGGAACATCATCTCCTATAGTGGATGCATGACTCAGCTATTTTTCTTCTGCTTTTTTGTCAACTCTGAGTGTTATGTGCTGACAGCCATGGCCTATGATCGCTATGTGGCTATCTGTCAGCCCCTGCTGTACACAGTCATCATGTCCCCTAAGACCTGTTCTCTGCTGATGCTTGGTTCACATTTGATGGGGTTTGCTGGTGCCATGGTCCACACAGGGTGTATGATCAGACTCATCTTTTGTGATGCCAACACCATCAACCACTACATGTGTGACATCTTCCCCCTCCTGCAGCTCTCCTGCAGCAGCACCTACGTCAATGAGCTAGTGACTTCTGCTGTTGTTGGTACAATTGTCATTTTATCCAGCCTAATTATCTTAATGTCATATGCTTTGATTCTTTTTAATATCATCCATATGTCATCAGGTAAGAGTTGGTCCAAAGCCATTGGCACCTGTGGTTCCCACATAATAACTGTTGGTCTCTTCTACGGGTCTGGGATACTCACTTATGTGAAACCAACATCTACAGAGTCTGTGGGGCAGGGGAAATTTTTCTCAGTGTTTCATACTCTTGTGGTCCCTATGCTAAACCCCCTCATTTATAGCCTCAGGAACAAAGACATCAAACTTGCTCTGAAGAGAACTCTGAGGAGAATCACAACCTGAGTGAAGCAGTGGATGTACCTTAGTATCTTTCCACATTCATCAGTCCTTTTCTCTCCTTCTTGATTTCCTCATCATCTTTTTATTCTATACTTATCTTCTCTCCATATTTCTTCTTATATCCTGGCATTATTTCTCCCGTGGTATCTTGTGTTCTCTCTCTATGGAATATAACTGCCGGCCTATTTTTGGTCTTCAAGCTTATGTTTAGTCCCTCAGTGACTGCAAACTAGCTTTTGTTCTCTGTGCCTTCTGGAGTCCCTGGACTGTTATCTTTTCCTGCCTGAAGATAACACTACTTATGTTTTTTTTTTTTTTATCTTCAATAAAACAGTAGGATGTGGGTGCTTTCAGATAAGTTTATTTATTCTCTGCTTTTGTGAAATATTTTACGAGGTTTCTTATTTCAAGTAATGTATTATTTATAACTATCTTAAAACAGAAGTGATGATAAAAATTAGGGAAATGACAAAGCTATAAAAAATGTCCAGAGTTATGGGTTTCTTTCAGCCTTTTTTTCTGAGATATTTAGCCTTCCATTTGTAATGAAATTGTGTATTGTTTAGAAACTAGGTTCCATTCTTATGGGCATGTGAGGACACATGAGAGCTACAGTTCTGCCTACTTTTCCAAACTCAACCTGAAAAAGGAATTCATTGGTCAATTCGTTTTTGTTTGTTTTGGTTTGGATTTTTGGTAATAAATAGAGATATTTCTTCCTGTATCTGTGGGTTGTTTGCCAAAATTGCATTTCTAAACTACACAGTTTTATTTCTGGCTATAGAGCAAAATGTCACAAGTAATGTCAAGGTTTTTTGTTTCTACAGCTGCAAATAAAGCATTCTCTTTTTCAAAGCAAGGTTTATTTTCTTTCTTTAAAATCTCATGTAAGATGCTTAGGAGTTATCTCAATGGGCCAATACTTGACTAACATGTACACCACCTTGGTTCAGTCTCTAGTAAACAAAAATAAATGAAGGTTACAAACATTAACTAAAACATATAATATGAATCGTGTCCAATTGGGATTTCCTCTTTCGATCTGTAAATTTTCCTTCTCTCTTTTTTCCTCTTAGAAGAATAATCTCACATTTATAACAAATGTGCTGCACTTGTTATAAATCCTATTAAATATCTATCTCCTTATCCTTTTCTCTGAGTGAGGAAATGTGTCTTCCTGAAGAATACATCGTTAATGCAGAGCCCGGTTTTTGAAGCATGGTACATTCTATGAAGAAATGTGAGGAAAGAAAGGAGAAATTTGGAGAAACAGAGAGAACTTTAGGAGATTTGTTTTGGAAAGTGTTCAAAAGTGGAAATTATTTGGGAATGATGGCCTCAGCCAAGATGCCTACAGCACAGATATCATTAACAAGGTGATAAGGAAAGAGTTCTGAGATGTCCTGAACTAAGTGAAAACTACTGCAGAATGAAGAGAGGGAAGAGAGATAACAGAGTTTGACTATAGCTTCAACATAAATCAACAAAGAAAAAGTAATAAAATGCTCTACAATCCTTTTCTGTATGTTAAAGATTAGGCATCCATATAGCATCCATTTTGAATTTATAACCAACCAGCCAAACAACCAAGAATTAGCAAAACTTTCTCTTTAGCTGGGTGTGATGGCTTATGCTATTATCCCATCTGTGGAAGTGTAAGTAGGAAGATCATGGTCCAAGTTTACCCAGGAATAAAAGAGAGACCCTATTTGTAAAATAACTAGATCCAAAAGAGTTGGCAGTGTTGCTTACATGTTACAGCACCTGCCTAGCAAGCGCAAAACCACAAGTTCAAACCCCAGTGCCAAACAAAACAAAGCAAAACAAAAAACCCTTCTACTTATGACCTATCCTCCTATCCCAGGACTTTTCCCACTGCACACATTGTCCTGCCCCTGTCACTTATAACCATGTGGCTTCAGGATAAGTGACATACACTTTCTTGTCTCCAAATTTTCATTGCAAAACTTCCTGACTCCTTGGATAGGATGGACATTTTTTCCAACTCTTATCTAACTGTGCTGCTTGCAGCTTAGGGAATTTATCCTAAGAGTAGTCCTACTACCTTTGGCTAGCATCTGTTAGACTTCAACAAATCCTTTAAGAGACCTCTTATTTTCAAAAGTCTGATTTCACAAAGTCTTTGATGCCCAACTAGAAAAATGCCTATGCCTCTGTAAAGTCTGAATTTTAAGTAGGGCTAACAGTGTGGACTACAAAGAAATGTTTCATCCTGACCTGCTTCTAATAGTGATCATTCTTTGGGAATGCTTAAGATCATGAGTCAATCCTTCTTGTAAGACATGTCACTATTTCCTTAATAGCACTAAATATTGTTTAGAAAAGGATTTGCATCCATTTCTGTAAACATTTGGTACTTATGCAAAAAGTGAAACATGAGTCAGATGCATCATCTTCTAAAAGTCTTGAAGTTTAATGTTTTCATCTATGATTCATTTTCTGAAAAATTTTAATAATGATTTTATGCAGGGATTGAGGTTAGTTTTTGGCTTATTATTTTTCCATCCACATTGCTTGACAATTTCTATTTTAAATTACCTATGCATCATTGTTGAGCTCAATTGACTTCAAATGTGTGGGTCTCTTTTTGGAATGTAAAGCTTAGTAAAAAAGTTCAGTTAAAACCTAGGCAGAAACCAGTTTATTCCTGTATAAATATTTAACTATTTTGGAAATTTACCACAAGATGTGCATGACTGTGTTTGTAGGAAGGAGAAAGGGATGGAAGTCATTGTGATTCTATTCTCTATTTCTAAGTATGTGAGAAATGTTGAAAAGTTCTGAGATTTCACCAGAGAAGTTCCATAAATATCTAAAGAGACCCTTCCATGTAGTGGTTATTGTATTTAGCACCAGGAGCAAAAGTAATAAATAAACAACCATGACCTTTGTCCTTATAGAACTTACAATTTTCAGGAATACAGGAGCAAAAGAAGAAAAAAACTCTGATGGATGTTATGATGGAGAATGTACCAGAAGTTAAGAAAAATACATAATGACAGCTGTCATTTATTAACTATGTACCTTGTTGCAGGAATGGTTTTAAACATTCGACTTATAATATCTCTTTTAATTGTTATAATAACTCAAAGGAAGAGATGCTTTTATTACTCTCTGTATTGTGGATTTTTATGAACATGAAGCATGGAGAATATTAGAGCTAGTAAGCACAGTGACAAAGAGGATTAAGAGGCCTTCCTACACCACAGCCTCTACTCTTTTTTTGATGAAAGAAATTGATAACCTCAATGTTGACTGAGCAAGGCACTCAATGAAAGTTCATGTAGGAGTTTAAATGTAAAAGTATCAGAAGAACAGTAAGCCATTAAAAGGAATGCAGGGCAAAAAAGAGGATTAGGACCATACACATTTTGATTCCATGAATGAGAAGAGTCAGACAATATAGGAGAGACATACTACACTCTGAAGAGAAAAAGAAAGGAAGAACATTGGGAATCCCAAAGTTGGTAGTAAAACAATAGAACAGCATAGAAAAACTGAAGAGACAGAGAAAAGCAACAAACATTTCCAATTATGTCCCAGACTCCCTGGGAAGGGGGAAGAGAAGTCAAAGATGCAATTGTAAGTTATAGCAGATGGCCTTGGCAATACACTGTCAATTCTAGCTGAAAGATTAAGTCCACACTTTTCACAAGCATTAAACCCAATATGGGGATTTGTTGAAACACTGGCTACTCCAGTGTGAAAGACTAACCTAAGTGAAGGAAGAAATTTTGTCATTCTTCTTTTCTTGGAGAACAACATCATCTTGAAAGAAAGAAGACCTTTTGTTTGGCTCTGAATTATGGTGAGGGCTTGAATAGCAGAAAAAATCATGACTTATGAGTCTTGGGACACTGTGCCACATTGTCTGGGTGGGAGACTTTCACAAGAGTTGTTCATGGAGCAGGAGAGTATCTGATGTAATCTTGTAAGGAACTCAGGTGACAAAAAGCATGATGCTAAGAGGCTCTATCTTCTGTGTTGAGAAATGAGTACTATTGTCATTGGTAACAAAACACCAATCCTGTGTCTGGCATAAAATTCAGCTTCCATGTCCTGCCTCCTGGTACTTGTTTTGACTACCAAGTTGGTCAGAGGGTCTCTCACCCCAGGCTAGCCAAATAACATGATTTCCATTGCTTCCTACCATGTCAGAAGTATGCAAACTTCTGGGCAGTGTCTGAAAATACTGAGGACTAGCACCATGACTGCATCCCAGTGTCTCTTTGCTGCCAGAAGAGTCTGAGTACCCAGATCCCAGGCTTTTTGACTCATCTGCAGTCTCCATACTGCACAATGGAGCTAAAAGGCTGGGCAGATTCTGAAAGTACTGAATCCTACCCCTACAAATGGCATCCAGGAATGTATGTCAGTGGACAGGGTGGTCTGAGGCCTCAAGGTTAGACACTCTAAATCACAGGACTTCTACAACCTCCTCCCACACACTGGCAGGAGAACCGTAGGACAGGGTATAAAATCATGAGTCGTGCCTCCAGAAACTGAAAATCAGTATGGGTTTGTTGCCAGGCAGGACTAAACTCCCAAGCCTAGAGTCCAGACCTTCTGGATCATGAGACTCCCACAACATCCTCCTCAGCACAGGGAGATGAACTGCTGGACAATGTGTGAAAGCTTACAGATCAGCAGGCAGAGCAACTAGCAAGTCAGTGCAGAGATACGTGCTCTGTTTGCTCCTCCACTCTGACACACATTGGTTGTCACCATGAGGTTTTGATACTTGATGCTCCTGGAGACACAAGCTGAGGGCCTTGTAAAACAATGGGAAACAGCCCATCCCAGAGGCCATAAATCTCCCTGCATCCAGCAAGTTCCCCTAGTCCACGAAGGAGGGAAGCTTCTAGAGTGAAAGTAGTTCAGAAATGAGCAACCAACACTTCTCTGAGAGTTTTGTTTATCTGAGTAGTGCTGGGAATTAGGTCTGTTGTCTTTCACTTGAGGAACAATGCTGGAATTACTGA